CAAGCTTAGAATTTTTAGAAAACCTGGAATTTACCATTTTAAAAAAAGGAGCAATTATGATTAATTATATCAATATGCCATGCATCCTGCCATGTCTCCCCTGCCCAGGTTTTGTTTTTCTGGCATGCCAGCACTCTAGCACCTTACAAGGTAGACACTGCGTTTTTTTTCAGCACTCCGGTGGCCAAAGATGTTGCCTATCCCCGGTCTAAATTCTTTCTGCTTTTCCACTGTCCTTCTCCATTTAAAGTGCAGGAAAAATATGATCCCAGGTAAGGAGAAAGTGTCTCCAGGTGCTGCATCATACAGTCTCACTTGTCCAGGGATGCTTATACTCAGAAGTACCATTGGCTTTCTGCTGGCATTTTGCCAACTTGTAATGCATAGCAATGCATATGGCTAGATTCTGTTCCAAAATGCTTAAGTGGACTTAGGTGCCTAAGAGCAATTCTGTTCCACTTTGTTTAAGTCCCTGAAAACTGATTAATGTATCCATTTTTTGTAACGTGTTGTAAGCCGCCGTGGGGTGTACTTGCACAGCTGGCTTGTTTTCTGAAGCATGTCTGGCCAGGCACCTCTGCCACTGGCCACTTTTGTTCTAGCTGCCCAGGGTCCAACCATTGGTGTAGTGTGCCCTGCCCTAATGATGATTCTGGTGATCTCCCTGTGGTCTTCCAGCAAGTGGGAGGATGAAATGCAGTCTTTGGCTTGATCCTTATTTATTTAATTTTTTTGGCTTAGAGAGACTGTCTAGGTGCCAAAGAGCCTGATTCAGTGCTTGCTGAATCTGTGGAAAGTCCTCCCATTGACTTCGGTGGCTTTTAAATCGGGTATAATTTTGTCTAGTAGTTCCTACACAAATATGTGGTATTAGAAAATGTTGAGGTCTGAGTTTTGTAGGACTTTAAGTTCTATGTGTTATAGAGCTGTAACCAGCCCCATTTTTGTCCGTCTGTTCAGGGTGCCTGGCCAGACTCACTGAGACCAATGGGTGGGGAGGGAACAACTGGTCAACCATCCCTTGGCATAAGCAAAGCTGAATGAAGAACTGACAGCTCTCCAAATCGGGGACAGTACTTTTCTGATGAGACTTCAGAACTTGAGATGTGCTGTGGAATGGAAAATATGTTGGGGCGAATGATTTCCTTGCTTTCTCACCTTATGTAGGATGAGGTTGTGAGTAATGGCAAGCTATTCATCGTGTCGCTCTCACTCACTTGCTCTTTCATGCTTCCTTTCGCCATTGACAGATGCTGCAAAAGACTTTGAAAGCTAAAAGGGATTTAGTTGGTTTGCAGGATACTGTTTAAGCAGATGGTTGGCAACTTTACCTGATTGCAGACTAGAGTGACCCAAATAGAGTCTGAGATGTGCTGGCACTAGGACCTAGCTGCTGCCCTTCCTCCACCCTACCACATTACAGGTTTCCCTCGCTTTATGCTATACGTGCATTCCTGGAAAATGGCACATAATTCAAATTTGCATAAAGGGAACTCGCTTTACAATGTAACAAATAGGGATATGTTCCAAGACCTCTACTGTACTGACCCCCAGACCCATTTTTACCACTTTTACAAGACAATTTTGATACTCGCTAACAGCAGACAGTACACACAAGCACAGGGCACTATCATAATGTGGATGGCAGCTACAGAAATGAGTGTTGCAGACAACTAGGGAGGAGCACAGATCTAGACTATATTTTGGTGTGCTTCACTCCCACAGTGCACCACACAAAGCAGCTGACTGCAGGCTTCCACCACACTGATAAAATAAGAGTGAATTTACCTCGCACACAATGAATTTTTGGTATAAAAAGGATCATTGCATAAGAGTGAATTTGCACATACAGAACCTACATAAAGCAAGGGGAAACCTGTACAAGGAAGTTTCCTACCACTGCTGCTGCTTTTCCCCACTGTGGGGCTACTGGTTTCTCACTGCAGCATAAGAGAAGCTCCCTGCCATCAAAGACCAAGCTCCCCAGGCCACATTCAGCCAATGTTGCCAACCCCTGGTTTAAGCAATGTGAGTTATGCTATGTTGTGATTATAGACTAACACTCAAGACATAAGCATAAACTAGCCTATTTTCTGTTTATGCTGCTATATTGATCACCAGGTTCAATAAACATAGGCATACATGAATGAGAAAAAACTAACCATGAACTTCATGATGGGGCAGTAGGCAACCTCTGCCAGACCATCTGTTTCTCACTAAGTTGCTAGCAAGGTGTTCCCTGTGGGCTCATCTCTTATTCAAACTCCTTCATGTGTGGGCCGCCTCCCGAACCCATCCATGTCGCCATGAGCGGGCCGGGAGCAATATGCGGACCCGACTTTGTGCACGCGGGCTGTGGCCAGCAACCCGGGCACGCGGGGTCGAAGAAGACCAGTGGGAGCTAGAATTAGTCACGGACGCGTAATGGTTGATTAAAAGATTGTTTTCTTACACCAAAGATGGTCGTGGAGTAGGCTGGACAGTTTCCAGGCACAGCTCTGCTTAAATCCCCGTTTGAGGACTACGACAAGCTCTCTCACAAAGTTTGCTAGGCTCCATGGATCTTGTGCTCTGAGGTAGTTCGGTTGTCTGAACAACTATGTCAGTTGTTCCAGCTGAATAGACTCACACGAAGTTTGCTAGGCTCCGTGGGTCCGGTTCGGTAATTGGCTCCGGAGTTGTTGAAGCTCCGCGGGTTCGGTAGTTTCTTGTATAGGAAGGGATATGTCTAGGAATTTATCGGCGACAGGGAGAGGCTAGAGGCTGTTCGGTAATTGGCCCCAGAGTTGTTAAGGCTCCGTGGGTTCAGTTCGGTAATCAAACCTCTATTGCCTTCTTAAGGAAAAAGTTGGGTTCGAAGGAATCAGCAGCGCTTAGAGATCTTCACGCTCTTTCTCCCGAACTCCAATTGCTTTCTCTCTCTCCAACTTGGGCGGAAACTACCCAAGCTCTTTATACGGCTAGCAAGCCAATTGCTAGCCGCCACGTGTGCATAATTTAACGTGAACCAATAATGTGGCTCCCAACTTTATACAAAAAGGGGGGACAACACAAATGGCGGGAACTCCTTTGCACCGTGCATCTCCTAGATGCAAAAGAAATGCACCATGCAAAGAAGGCTACAAACTGGCGGGAAATACTTTTTCACGCGGGTTCTCTTATTGCAGCAGAAAACTCCACCGTGCAAAGGAGCTGCAATTTAGCGGTAACATAATTTAACGGTGCCGAAGCGGACACAAACAAAAAACCACAACTTTGGGTTGTGACACTTCACTCTCCTGTTAGGAGGCATCTGTAAATGATCACTTCCGTTGCTACAGTGGAGTCTTCAAAAGCCTTTTTTCAGTGACAAACTAGAATAGCTTAAATCAGGCTTAAATCAGGAATGCAAGCCATCCTCGACTTATAACATTTTGAGTTGCAACGTTTTGCACTTCCAATGTTTATAAATTAACACCCTGTGTCAACTTTATGGCGTCAGTTTCAACTTTACAATGCTTGATCTAATGCGATGCCACGCCAGCGAACAAATTTGCTGCATCGCTCATCTCCCTGGAGAACATCTGTCCAAACTTCCTTGGACGCTTTCTTTAAAGAAAGCGTCCAAGACTCCAGAAGAACCTGTAGCCAAAACTTCTAAGAAGATTCCAGCCAAGAGCCCTTCAAAAAGTCCAACCACGAGCCTTTCAAAGAGTCCAGCAAAGTCACCTCAAAGAAGTCCTTCCAAATCAATATGATTGCTATTTACTATATAAATACATTAATGTAGCTATGTTACTCATCTATAATTGATCAAGCACAGAATTCTGGGGTAATGTTGGTGAAAATAGGATATTGGGCCTTGGTTCAGGAACCAATCCCCCATTTATAGCATTTTTCTTATGAGAAAATAGGTTCTGAGTTGCAACGTTTTGAGCTAAGACGCGGTTTTCAGGAACCAATTGTGTCATAAGTCCGAGGACTGCCTGTAATGTAATGGAAGTCAAAATTCCAAGGAGCCAATTGGGACACAGTATGAGTGCTAACAGCAACCTTTGTCATGAGGACACATCCTGTATTTGAAGGGCTGCTAAGGTGCAATAGTGTAGAAGTTCCCTTACACACCTGAAGGAATGTTCAGCACAACAATTGCGCCCCAGCATCTGATCCCTCTGGACCACCAATGCTGTAAAGTAGTGATGAAGCAGGCCAAACAGCCTGATCTCCTTGGTACATCACGTGGTGGTATGACAGGAGGGTCACTAGATGGGACTAGATTTATAGCATGATGTGACATGGATGGGACAGGACTGCTTTGTGCTTGATGTTATGCAGGACTTAATAGTCTGCTGCTCCGGTGTCCGTACAAGACGAGTTATGAGGCATCTGAAGCTCTTGCCTAGCACTGGTTTCAGTGCCAGTGTGTTCAAACCCACCAGTCACACATTGAAGAAATAGGCTTTGGAAGCCTTTGCTTTTTGATTTGGGTTGTTGCCAGATACCTTTGAGTTGGGTGCAGAGAGTTGGGTAGAGCATATACAAGGAAGACATGGACTTGGGAGGAAACTAGACCAGATTTGTAGATGGTTAGAAATCTGCTGGATGGACCTCATTTTGCCTACAGGTGAGGTCATGGTAGTACTAAGATGGTTATGCTGGGAATACTGAGGCAGGAGCAGGAAGGGGGGGACCTTGGGGCAGCTGCACATGAGATTATGCCGGAGGAAAAAATATGCTGCCTCCAGAGGAAGGTATCTGGGTTACAACTGGGGTAAAACTTCTCAGGTAGGGGTAGATTTAACTTTAGGCTTACCCACATGCATGCTCTGCAGTCCCTGAACTTTCTTCCCCCCTTGGAGCATTTGGGGTTTTCCTGTCCAGCTGTCTATGGCCATATTTTGTGGAAGATCTGTTGAGAGACTATTCTCCACACCTCTGATAGCCTAGTATTTCTATATCTTTCATGTATATAAATCACTCTACTGTATCTTAATTACAACTATTTCTGCTTGGAATTTCAGAATGATGACCTTCGAAACCTGTCCCTGTCTGGTCATGTTGGCTTCGACAGTCTTCCAGATCAGCTGGTCAACAAGTCAACGTCACAAGGCTTTTGCTTCAACATACTTTGTGTTGGTAAGTTAATCTGCTCTGCTGAGCAAAATGGCTTTTCAATACGTGTGTGTTTAAAGTGCTTCAGAGATTAACAGGAGATCTGGAACAGCTGAATGTCTTGTTTGCCTATTATTCTTGAAAGTTGAAAGTCTCTGGATTAGGGTCAGAGGGGAGAGCAATAAGGGTGATGTTGTGGTAGAGGTCTGCTATAGACCTCCAGACCAGGAAGTGGTGGATGAAGCTTTCTTTAGACAGCTAGCAGAAGTTTCCTGATCACAGGCCCTGGTTCTCATGGGGGATTTCAGTCACCCTGTCATCTGCTGGGAGAGCAATACAGCAGTGCACAGGCAATTGAGGAAGTTTTTGGAGAGTGTAGGGGACAACTTCATAGTGCATGTGTTGGAGAAGCCAACTAGGGGCAGTGCTCGTGACCTGCTGCTCACAAACAGGGAAGACTTGGTAGAGAATGTAGTAGTGGATGTCAACTCAGGCAGCAGCATGAGATGATTGAGGTAAGGATCCTGAGGAAAGGAAGCAAGAAGAGTAGAAGTGTAAGAACTCTAGACTTCGGAAAAGCAGACTGGATTGCTCTGGGAACTCGGACAGGCTTCCCAGGGGATCCTGCCCGTGAAAGGGAGAGGAGTCTAGGAGAGCTTGCTGTACGTCAAAGAAAACTTACTGAGAGTGCAGGAACAAACCACCCTGATGTGCAGGAAGATTTGCAGGTGTGACCAAAGACCTGCTTGGCTTAGCAGGGAACTCTTCAGTAAGTTAAATCACGAAGAGGAAGCTTATAAGCAGTAGAAACTTGGACAAACAACTAGCGGAGGAGTATAAGAGAGTATTCCTTGGGTGTGCAAGGATGAAGTCAGGAAGGCTAAAGTGCATTTGGAGTTGCAGCTAGCAAGGGACGTGAATGGTAACAAGAAGAGTTTCTACAAGTATATTGGTAACTAGAGGAAGATCAGGGAAAGTGTGGGTCACTTACTGAATGAGGGAGGCAACCTAGTGACAGAGAGTGCAGAAAGGACTGAAATTATGCCTTTTTCACCTCAGTGTTCACAGGCAAAGTCAGCTCCCAGGCTGCTATACCTGACAGCACAGTTTGGGGAGGAGGTGGGCAGCCAATGAGAAAAGAAGAGGTTAGGGCTGTGGCGGCCCAGTAGGGGGTGCTCCTGTGCTGAGCCACCCACCTCACTGCCCGACCACCTTCCAGGCTCCAAGTGCGTCCCTGGGGGCGCCTCACATCTGGCTGACCCCCTTCCTGGAGCACACCTGCTAGCCTGGAGGTACAGCTGCCACCACCCAGGGATGGGCTTGATTCTGGCACTGCGCCCCCTGGGAAACACAGGTCTAGTAGCCCTTGAGGGTACTTGACTCACTCCAAGAACTTGGGGTGCTTCCCTCAGTCAGAAGCACAAGTAGTGGTCTCCCTTATTCAGCTGAACCAAGGGGACCCCAAGGCATAATCTAGACCCACTCCCCATAAGTTTCCCACGCTAGGTACAAAGGAGAACTTTATTGGTTACAAGGAGTAGGGTTGGAATAGGGTACAGCGTTGAGTAGTATCAGAGAAATCCCATAGAGCAAACAGGGTGCCTGGGGTAGCCTTTGATCACGTACCTGAGTTACTGCAAGCTAGATATCTAGTTAGATCTCAAGTAGCTTACTCACAAGTATCATCCAGAGGCAGGTGGAGATTCCCTCTGGAGGCAGGCAGTTCCTTGATCATCAGTGTTGAGAGAGAGAGTAAGTTTCATATAGTCCAGCTCTTCTCGCTCTCTCTCTCTCTCGCTCTCTCTCTCTCGCTCTCTCTCTCTCGCTCTCTCTCTCAGTTTTCCTCATGCCTGCTGCCCCTCCTTCTGGGCAGTCCTTAACTTATAGCCCTTATGACCTCATTTACCTGGTCCAATGGAGCCCAGCACCTGTTGGCTGTCAGCCAACGAATGTGAAATGCATCACTGGTTGCTGGGTAGACTGGCAGTCTCTAGCCCACCAGGGTGCCCAAGTCCCTCACCCAGGTATGTGGTGCCAGTCGCGTAGGGAGAAGGAGCAGGTTTCTCCTCTCCCTCAGGAATGTATTCAGCTCAGGTTACCTAAAGAGAGAGGGTAAGGTGTGTACCCTCTGCAGGACCCAAATTGTCACAGAGCAGAGTTTTTGGGGAGAAACAGAGGTGGCCTTCTGCCACAAGGGCATGGTGGGTAGAATATAGCTTGTGGGTTGAATCTGGCCCATGGCAGGTCTTTCTCCAGGCTGCAGCGGGTTCCTCAGTCCTGCCTGGCCCAGGCACCGTCCAGCTGTGGCTTGTCCTGCTGCCCCCTGGGCACATAGCAGGGAGTGGGGCAGGAGTGAATGATTTGCCCCTACCCAATGCCTTCTGCACTGTGGGGGGTGGGTCTCGATCTACCCCCCACCAATCCCAGGTAAAGAAAGAAACTTGCCTACCTGCTGGGCTGGCTGCAATCCTGGCTGCGCAGGGTATCCGAGTGTGCCCCGCCCCAACTGCTGCAGTCTGTGGCTGGGTTGCCCTCTGGCCATACCTGCTGCTCCCCTAAGTTTGGGGAGGTCTGAGCCCAGTTAGCCTCCCCTACCTATGGCCCTGACCCCACGTGCCCTGTGCCTGCTCTGGGCTCACCCACCCAGGCTCAGCAACAGCAGTGTGGGATAGAAGCTGCTGCTCAGCGCGGGGTAAATGCAGCCCCTCTCCCTCACAACTACTGGCATTTCCTGGTGTAGCCTCCTGGAGCCCATGCTGGGCTGCCCAACATCTACAGTGTGTCACTGCTGCCTCTGGGCTGCCTGGTGGGGCAACAGTGGCAGTGCAGAGCAGACACAGGGCAGCCCAGCACAGCGCAGGCTCCGGGAAGCTATATCAGAAAGTGCTGGCAGTGGCAATGGGGAGGGATTGCATTTCCCCCAGTGCTGAGCAACAGCTTCTGTCCCACACTGCTGCTCCTGGGCCTTGGTGGGAGAGCCCAGAGCAGGCATGCAGGGTCGGGACTGTGCAGGGGGCAGCAAGACGTGTGCGCCATGGGCGTGTGGTGCGGAGTGGGTCAGGTCTGCACTGTACCTGGGTTCCAGCTGATCCACTCTGGGACTGAGTCTGGAGCAGGTGTGGGCTGTGCGCTGTTGGCAGTGGCAGGGAGGCACTGCAGAGCATGTGGGGTTCAGGCCATTGTGGGGCAGGGACTGAATGACTTGGGGGTGCATGTGCAGG